AGCCCAAATTATCTCAAATTTAAACACGAAATATTTTATTTTTTATCATAAATTGCTAGTTACCGTTTATAATTGATTTTTAAATTTTCTCTGGGTATATTAAAAAAAAAACAATATTCAATCATGCGTACCAAAGTACTATATTTTTTTACATAATATGTAATTTATTGTAGTCTTTTATACAGAATGTCCCAACTATGTTTTTCTTGACATCTTTGTTAAGATGTGAAAATAAGTTTAGAGAATAAATAATAATTATTTAACAGAAATTGTAACAGATTTTCGGAATAAGATTTCATTAATTAATAATTTAAACAGTGTGACAAAATTGACATTATAAAAGAACCGCGTCGATAAAATCGTTGAATTAAGACTGAAATTTATAAAAAAAACAAAAAATGCGTCAAAAAAGCGTCAAGTTTTTAGATCGAATTGAGGACTTTATGGCCACAACTTTATTCATGTGGTAAAACTAGAATTTTCATATAAAAATCAATTATAAATGAAATTTTACAAAATGGTACAAAAAAATTAAATATCAGAAAATGAAAGCACAAATCGCGTCGATAAAATCGTGGTCATATCCATTGTACAAATCTGTTAAAAATTGCATTCTACGTGTTTTCGAAAAATCTCAATTTAATTTTTTTGATGTTAGTTTATTTGGATCTAATAAGAATTATTATTGACTTCAAAATTTTTTGATAGAATTTTTTTAACATTGTTTTCAAGTTCCCGAGATTTTCTTCTCGAACCAAAAAAAAAAACCAGAAGACATGCGTCAAAAAAGCAAAACTATGTGTCTAAATGTCAAGTTTGTATTAAATTTAAAATGAAACAGAATTTAGAAAAACTAAAATAAGAATTCACCAATTTTTCAAAAACAAAATTGTCTGAAAAACAGTCGCTACACATTTGTTTTTTGTCAAAATAATAACAAAAGAAAAGCTAGCCACACCGTGTCGATAAAATCGTGGTGATTTCAATCATTCTATGAATTAAAAAAATAGTATTTTTTTAAGAAAATATGGGAGTTTTTTTTGTTAAACTCGTCACATTTCTACATTCAAGGACTACAAATAT